ATTTGAAATTTGAACTCAAATTTTGGTAAGTTGTTGGGAAAAGTCCTACAGAGGTAGGTGATTGTTTTTAACTCCTCTGAGTAAGAAGTTTTTCACGTAAAATATCTCTTTTTATTTAATCATGACAAACAGCAGTGATGAAGATATGTAGAAAAAAAATAGATCAAATTTATTGTATTTGAAATTTTAGGCATCGAAAGAGTTATAAGAATTTGTCGTGATTTCTACCATTCTAATAATTAGAATTACTTTTTTGGTAAAAAATATTTCTTCAATATTTGATCAGTTCTTTTTTAGAGTAGAGTTTTGGACTTCTACTCAACAACACAGTTGCATACACAATTAAATTTAAAAATTTATGTTTGAGGAAAAACTACTAGTTTTATATTTTATTTTATATTAGTTTTCTTGTATTTAAGTCAATCAACAAAATCATATTAAAGATTATGCATTTTTTTAATATGTAAATATATTTGTATGATTTATTATCGTTCTGTATTTATTATGTTAACTTATCGCATAAGCGGCTCAACAGATTTCGTGGTCCAAGGCAAAATCATATTGAGAGGCCCTTAAATTTATTTTATAAAATTTATACACTAACAAGAAAATTTATTTTCTACACAATAGATTAATCATTTAAGACAAAAAAATAACAAATTTCACACACAAAAAAAGGAAGAAGAGTAAAAAAAATAAAGTGATGGATTATCAATGTTAAGCTTCAAACCTCAAATTGAAATTTTAATTTGGCTATCATCACAAATAAGAAAAAGAAAAAAACCACTACATCAAAAATGATCTTTAGCGGCAATTAATTAACGACAATAGCTCAATTGCCGCTAAATATGTATTTTTAGCGGCAATTAACACTCTTTGTATATGTCCCTAAAGCCTTTAGTGATATTGAATCTAATGACACTTAACTAATGTCGGTAAAAAATTTAGCATTCTTTATTAATGTGTCTATTTATCGCCGCTAAAAGTTATTTTTGTTGTAGTGAACATTAACTTAATATTTAAGGTATTGAGTATGGATAGTAAGAAAAATATATACACCTTCTTATCAAATTTATGATCAATTTAAGTGATATAATTCTTTTTAAATGATATAATCCATTCCATTAAGAGCACTCATTGGTGAATATCTAAAATAAATTATAAAACTTTCATATAATATATTAAATTAAAGTTAATAGTTAAGGTTTTGAGTATGGATAGTAATAACAAAAATATATACACCTCCTTATCAAGTTTCTGATCAATTTAAATTATATAATTCTTTTTAAATGATATAATTCATTCCATTAAGTAGCACTCATTGGTGAATATCTAAAATAAATTATAAAACTTTCATATAAAAGATTAAATTAAAATGAAAAGGAAACTTGTGCATGAATATTTTGTGTTCACGCAGTTTAAGAAAAGATTGAAACAAAAATTCATTATGTTATCACATATATAACTTAGTTCCTATATAAAAAGGATAAAAATTTAAAATCGGAAGTTAAAACAAAAATATCAATTAATAAGGTGAAAAGATTATAAGATTTTATGAATTTATTGATATAAAATACTCTCAAATAAATAATAAAAAATATATATATACATAACAATTTATTTATATAAATTATATTAATATATAATAAAATCAATAACAATAATTTAAATAATTTGGGGCTTCAAATTTTTGAGGCCTAAGGCAATGGCCTCACTGGCCAAGCCTTAGAGCCGCCCCTGTGCATAATATCTTCTTATTTTGAGCCCCATAATTTAGTCACGTGTTTATTTTCATTTAACAACTGTCTATAATATTTAGGGGATAAGTCATTAAATTTTAGAAAATTCAAAAGTAATGATCATTAGGGAAACGCATAAATTAAATAATGATGAAATGCATTAATATATGTCGTTGTACATTGTAACATCATAAGATATGACATGTTTCTTGATTTCTTTTATTCATGGGATAAGTGCAATGTATACTTTATCTAAGGGAAAAGAGTGAAAAATATTTTAACTTTAACCGAAATTAGTGTTATGATATCAAACTTTGGAAATGATCTTTTACTCATGTACTATTTAATAGTGTATTTTAAAAGTTATATATGTGTCTACGTGGACATCATAAATATTGCATCATTTTAAATAGTAATGTGTCAACGTAGGCACATATATACCTTTAAAATACACTATTAAATAGTGTAGGGGTAAAAAGTCCTCCATAAAATTTGGTATCGTAACAGCAATTTCGGCCAAAATTAAAATATTTTTCAGACCTTTTAATTTAATGAAGCTTCCAATATGGTTGTTATATTTATTAAGTCTTTCTTACTTTCCACCTTTTTAGTATGGATAATCACAATTCACAAACTAATACAAATCCAAAATTCAACAACCCACTCATGATTTTCAGATTTTTTCAATTTTTCTCCTTATAAAGAGGAAAAACTTTCTAAATAAACTAAAAAAAGTATGAGTTGATTGGGTACTCAACTAGATACATTGCATTCATTTTTCAAGAAATATATACTTGCACTCGACGTGTTCACAAAATTAATATACATATGCTCCACTAGTTTTATAAATAATAATATTTTTAGTTTGAGCAAACTCTTTTAAAAGAAAATAACCTAAACAATAAAAAGTAATTTTAAATACGGAAAAGGGTCAAAATTGCACCTGAACTATGAGAAATAGACCACTTATACCCTCAGTTATATTTTAGGATCAAAAATACATTTGCCGTTATCCTAAGAGACCACAATTACCCTTAAGACTTAACAGAAGTGATTTGGCAAGCCACATGGCACTAATTCCGCCACATAGGCTTGCCAACTAGGATACCCACTAAAATTTTTGACCCAATTAATAATTCAACCCTAACCCATTTTTTATTAGACCCACTCACTAAATTTAGGAGGGAAACGTTATATTTTTCACCTCTATCCATTTTCATTATTCAATTCACCACAAACCTAAAGAAACAATTTCCATCTACCGTCATTTGTATAATCTTTAAGCCCAATGCATCAAGCTGAGCTCGAAATTCAGAAATATCAGCCTGCTTTCCGTGCTTTTTTGCATGTCGCATACAGTAACATACACAAAACAACACATAGACTCAATATTGATAACAAACAAATACACTCAAATTTGTAAAGTAAAATCTACTCCTATTAAGCTAAGTTAGAACGAAAAATCATATACACCAAGTAATCAACAATGAATTTTTGCAATCCCAAACAAATTGAAAATAGTTATACGAATTTGAGTTAATCCAAAATACATACATGAGAAATTACTTCTGAAATCTAACATCCCTCTATACCACAAAGACTGGGTTGTTGCCTGTCTTGTGAAGCTCAGCTATCTCTCTGGTCCAAATTTTGATGTATAACAGACAGTCATGAGATTCCGCTTTAGCCTTGAAACCAATCCCGATGATCTTGAGGAAGCAAAAGAATTTAGCAAAAGCAAAAACACCTGCTCTTTCTTAGTTAGAATCGTGGTGTATCAAGTTATCGGAGTAGTGTCCACTCTACTATATTTAAGCTCGTCTAAGTCCAATATTAGATGAACAAAATAAACAGTAGTACTGCATCAATTGAGTAATAGTATATTGAAGGCCAAAAGACCAGTGTTATCAAAAGCAAAAAGCACAAGAAAAGTAATTCCATCAAGCCTGACATTAGCTTTCTCCATTGGCTCAAAACCCACAAGTGTTTGCCCGTATGCGTAAAGCTAATATCATACTACTCCAAGCAACCACATTACTAAGAAACATAAGATGAGCTTTCTCAATACACTCGCAACACTCGCAAGCCTTGATTAATCCACCCCTGAATAAAGGATCTGGATCAATATCATTTCTTATCGAATACCCATGAATTTGTTCGATCACATACGCATCCGCCATATCGAAACAAGCACGAATAAAATGATCAGATGTTTTTGTTGTCCATAAGACCAGATCAATTTCAATAGTCACTGACTTTGACGACTAAAGGATTCTCCAGGAGAGCAACACAGAAAAAACATAAAGGAATTCATACTATAACAACAACTTAACTGCAATAAGCAATAATAATACTTGTTGATCATTTCAAAAATTGGCCAAACAACAATACTGGAATCAAACCATAACAATTAACACCTTAACTAACCCAAAACAGACCAAGAACCTGAAACAAAAATGGGCCAAACAAATATTCATTCAAAACAAAGCTTCAGTTCGAAATAAAACATAAACAATTGTGTATTGTATGCATCCATAACATAAAAACAAAATAAAATAGTAATGCCATTGTTTGCATTTGCCAGATCATACAAAAACCAACATTTCAGTATCTCAAAAAAAATAACAGAAGTTGGCATATACATAATACTTCCAACTACCAAGAGTCTAAATTTGGGATCTTCCATTTGCTATCTTGGTCTTCAACTTCCCCACCTTCTTCTCCCTTGCCCTTTCCAACTGATTACTAGTCATAGATTATTTTCCTTTCCATGTGACTTTAGTGGGTGAGTAAGGCAAATTTGTAGGCTCACTCACTCGTCTATGATCACCTCTGAAAGTGATCACTCTATTGGCAGATCTTGTTTGTTGGTTCTGCCTCATCTTAAGCCTTGTTAACTCTTCAAAAATTATACGAGGCCTTAAAACAGGATCACTTTCAAGTTCTCTAGTAGGACCAAAAGGTTCATATTGTCTCTGTCTTGTTGCAGATATGTCACTTTCAATTCCTTCTTGAGTTAGTTGAGGGACTGAGCTATTGACATCAAAAACTTCTTCATTTTGTTCTACTTCTTCAGTCATGCCCCTCTTCCTCTTAAGACTTGAAATGTTGCCTTCCTCACTAGCCTAAAATATTTTTAAATAAGTCATTAAATTAGTTCATATGAACATTAAATAGCTAACTTTTAAACTAAAAAATTGTTACCTTGCAAGACCTTGCATTGTGAGCTTGTGAACCACACTTGCTACATGTCATCTTAGTTCATTTTCTTGAGTGAGACCACTCTCCAGCTCTTTTGATTGCTGCATTTTTTTCTCTATCTCTTTTAAACTTTGGCCTTCCAACAGTTTTCACAAGATCAGGTGGGTCCATGGCTTGTTCTGGCAATACTTGCCAGAATTGTTCACCTCTCATAGGCAACAACTTGGCCCCGTATGTTTTAAGATAGGCTTCTTTAGTGTACCACCAACTTATTTCATCTCGAGGCTCAATATTTTTGTAGCGCAATGCCTTGATGGCATGAGGACATGGGATGCCAGTCAACTGCCAAGACCTAAAATGAAAAGCAATAACTAGTTCGTGTAAATATTACATAATCAAAGTTACATAATAGTCTCAATTAATATATTTACCTGCAACTGCACTTCTTCTCCACAATATTCACTATGTGCCTATCTTCACCCTCAGACACTTCAAACCCAAGGTCCCCATTAAACTCAAGCTTGCAAAAGTTGGCAATCTTACTGTAGGCAATGAACAATTCCATACACTTAGGACTGTGTTTGTAATGAATGTTCCATGTTTCTGCCTCTTTTTCCTTCTTTCTCAACCTGTTCATTATTTTGACTCTAATCTCTTCAAGCATCTTCAAGATAGGCTTGCCTCTAGGTGCCAAGATCCAAGAGTTGAAGGATTCAGTGAAATTATTATCTACCATCTGACTTTTGCACACAGTATCAAAATATGTTCTGCACCATTTTTGTGGTGGAAACTTGACCAAATCTTTAGCAGCTTCCTCTGATAATACACCAAGAGCATTCAATTGGTCCTTAAAATCTTCTTCATAAGTACACCAAGCAGCCCACCACATAAGTTTCTTCATCTAGATCTCCGGTCCTAAATCTCTTCATCCAATTAGCCTCAACATGTCTTACACAATATCTATAAATAATTAGAAGTTCATGTTAGTTAGCAAAACCAAGATAGCACTTAAAAGCATCTTAATAGTACCTATGGTTTGATAATGGAAGGACATTTTCCATTGCATTCAGTAATCCCTGTACATGTCAAACCAATTAGTACTTATAAAAAACTGTATATTATTAGGTTACATAAACACAAATTACTTCTTACCTTCTGCATGTCAGACATAAATGTGATGCTATCACCATTCTTCATATTCAATGACTTCTCCAACAACTGTAAGAACCATGTCCCTGTCGTAGTGGTCTCATTATCCACTACAGCCCACACCAATGGATAGAAAGAGTTATCACAGTCTTGTGCCATAGCCACCAGTAATTGCCCCTTGCATTGGCCCTTTAAAAAGGTCCCTATCAAGTCCTATGAATGGTCTTAATCCTTCTTTCCATCCAACCTTCATTGCATTAAAGCATATGTACATTTTGAGAAATTTTCTTTTTCCTTGTTCCATTGCATCTTTTGATAAGTTAATCACCACATCACTACCGGGATTAGTCATTCTAATCTCATTTGCATACGCCTCCAATCTGTTGTACTCATCCAAAAAACTGTCTTGCATTTTTTGAAGGGTCATTCTCTTGCCCTTTTCAACTTTGAATCATTAGTATTTAAGTTGAAATTATCCATCAAGTCTTGTTTCATATCCTTCAGTGCATACTTGGGATTATTCTGAACTTTGCTTTTGAAATAATGGGATAAAGTGTTTGTGGTAGCTCTAGGATTGTGTAATGCCTCTTCACAGTTGTGTTCTTACTTAAAAGTCTTAAGTTTATATCCTGGACCTTTACCATCAAGTGAAACAAGAATTGCAAATGGACAACCTTCTATGCATCTGTATCTTAATCTTTTTCAGTCACTTTTTGCAACTTTCAAAGGTCTTTTAGTCGCTAGGGCATATAAATTACAAGCTTTCCTAGCATCATCTAAGTTCTTAAATGTCATATTAAGAAACAAGTCTTTGTAATGACTTAGATTAGCATTGACTTCCTCGTTTTTTTGCATCTTAATGAGCTCTAACTCATCAAAGTCATACTCACCATTTGAAGTAGGATCAACCAAACCATCATCACTTTCTGACTCGACGTCAGTCCCATACTCACACTGAACTTGATAGGTTTCACTATGATTGATAATGTTAGGGGCAAAAATAATTTCTTCATTATCATCAAGAGCAAATACATGAACTACCCTAAACGCTTCAGTTAGTAACTCCTAAAGTATCCTAATTCCATCAGAATCTTGAACCAAGAACAAATTTCTAGAAGGTCCTTTCACAAGTACTTGTTTAACTAATACAAAACCCAAGTTAGTTTCAAACACCTCTTTTATGTCAATCAAATTTAGGTGATTGGAATTAAAGTCCCTCAAAGAATGAACATACCTCTCATCATATAGTAGGTGAGGTTTTAAAGTCCATTTACCTCCATGCTGAAATAAAAGATCAACATTCATATCTTCCATATTGAATTTTCTGCAAAAAAAAAAATAGCAAAACATAATATATAGGACCCCACATTAATAAACTAAGCACATATAAATGAGGAAAAAGCTTCTAACAAGAAGAAAGTGACTTTTATAACATATAAAAACAAAGCAAGTGACTTAGCAGTAAAAAAAAACATCAAAAAGAGGGATTAAACAATGCTTAGATTGGGACCACACATTTAGATTCAAGAATAAAAATCTTAAATTATTTGAAAGTAGTCTAAAATATGTGTCAATACCAACATAAAAACAGCAAGAAAGGACCTCAAAACAAGATAAATGACATACAAGACTTTAACTCCTCCCGACAGATCAAATCCCAACACATGTAAAATTGAAGGAAAAGTAGTATTTTATCTCAAATATGAAGAGTCATCAGAATATACATCAATATATACTAAAATATTGGCAAACCAATTTTGCATATAAACCCTAACTTCAAAATACAACTATGAAAAATGTTTAAAATCCTACTGAAAGTAAACAAAAAACCAGTTACATACTGAAATAGAAGAGAATTTACATTCTAGATCGAGATTCCAGAAGAAAAGATTCTTCAAAATTGAGATTCTTCAAGTGAAATATGTTCTTCACAAAATTCTCCTTGGTGAATTGAATAGTGAAAAACGATTGAGGTGAAAAAGATATGTTTCCCTCCTAATTTTAGTGGGTTGGGTCTAGAAAAAATGGGTTAGGGTTGAATTATTAATTGGGTCAAATTTTGAGTGGGTATCCTAGTTGGCAAGCTTATGTGGCGGAATTAATGTCATGTGGCTTGCCAAATCACTTTTGTTAAGTCTTAAGGGTAGTTGTGATCTCTTAGGATAACGGCTAGGGCATTTTTTATCCTAAAATGTAACGGAGGGTATAAGTGGTCTATATCTTATAGTTCAGAGGCCATTTTGACCCTTTTCCGTTTTAAATATACTTTCAATCAAAGTGAGTTTGAGTTTGAGTAGACTCTTTTAGAAAAATTGCCTAAAAAGTAAAAAGTGATTTTACTAATATACTTTCAATCAAAGTGGGTTTGAGTTTGAGCAGACTCTTTTTAAAAAAAACAGCCTAAAAAGTACAAAGTGATTTTATTAATATACTTTCAATTAAAGTGATTCAAACTCACTGTGTTATAATTTTTATCGGTCCAACTGTATAACTCTTAATTTATTTTCTCCAGGATATAATAATTCAATTATAATGCATGACTCAAATAACTAGTTAAAGAGTTCAAGCTCCGCCATTTATAAGAACACCTTTCTTTTAACATAAAATTACTCTCTTTTATAATGCTTAATTTAGTAAAAGACCTATAATATTCAACTTGTTTCACTACACACCCACGTCACTTTCACCATGCATACTGCAATATTTCTCATATAACAAGTCGGGAAAGGAACACCTCTATATTAGATATACTAAATTTTTCATAGAATGAATTAGAGAATAGTACTGCAATATTAAGTAAGATAGGATAATGTGGATTTCGGAGCCAATTGAGAAAAAATTTCAAAAGTGCAACAAAATTGAGTATCAAACCAAAAGGGCAACATTTGGATGGAAGGATGAATGCCGTTAAGTGGTATGTTGTAAGGCTTATGTTGACATTGCCTTGTAAGGTTCATGTCAGAATGAGCCTTACAAGGCTCATGCTGACATCAGGCTTACAACATATTTTTTTTGTTATCACATTATCGGGTTCTTAACGGTTTGAATAAACACGAAAACACAACAACAAAACGATTGAATAAATAATGGAGAAGAAATATTAACATTTTTTAAGAAGTGTGTCGTTTTGTTTTTATGTTGTAAGCCTGATGTCAGCATGAGCCTTGTAAGGCTCATTCTGACATGAACTTTACAAGGCTATGTCAACATGAGGCTTACAACATATATATCATTTAACAGCATTCATCCTTTCATACAAATATTGTCATTTTGGTTTGATCCTCAATTTTTGTTACCTTTCTGAAACCCTTGCTCAATTTTTTTACCTTTTGGCTCCGGACTCGAATAATGTTACTTAAGTGTGATTGACATTCACTTTACTCCGTGGAAAGCAATACCTTCAAACCAGATTCTCCATTTCGTCCAAGGCATAAAGTACGATGCTAACTAAACTATCACTAACAACCTCTAAGCTAGTGTTGATTTATAATCACGTGATATTTACTCAAGTGCAATTTAGAATAGGCTATTAATATAATTTATACCTAGCCTTCTTTATAAGTTTCAAAAAAAAATCCTACAAATAAACTCTTGCATGAGAGTAGGAGCAGTATCTTTTACTTCTAGTTAATAATATCTCTCTCTTGATCTTCAAATCTTGATATTAACTTGGAGTAGTATTTTTTTTACCTTCAATCTTGAATATAATTTCTATTTGCTTGTATTATTAGCTACTAATTGGAAATAAAGTGTTTAGACTATTTCACTTGTTTTTAACCCTATTTCACTTGTTTTTAACCCTATTAAAAATAGATATTCACAATACTTGTCATTTTAAAGATTAAAACATAATTAATTAATTATTTCTTCCTTTACCCTTGGTCATAAATATAAAAAGATATTTATATGATAAGAAAAAGTATCATCATTATTGATAAAAGTAATAAATAAGGAGTCTAACTGTATAAGTAGCTTTTACATCCTATTTAAGTGAGTCAAGAATGAATGTTAGCAATAAATAATGGTCATTTCATTTAAACAACTCTAAGCTTATTTTAGCTCATGTTCAATTCGCTGCTCTTTTTCCAAGTAAGTTTGTACTAATCAATAAAGTATCAAAATTTCCATATATGATCTATAATTCGAAAGATTATATACGAGGAAAATATTTGCAGTAACGTCTCAAGAAAATGTTGTACTAATGATTTAAATATTTCTTGCCATATATTTTAAAGCTTCTTATTATTAATTATTCTATGTTACAAAATATTAATAATAAATTAAATAAAAAGAGGGGAAAAGGAGACAGAATAGTAAGAGTAATAAAATGAGGGAAAATAATAGTTGTCTTTACTATTTTTGGTGTGTCTACATTGTAGGGATATTGCCCCTTTTATAGGAAAAACACTTCCTTGGAGAAGTGAGCCTCCTACCGTAATGGGCCATGGACATATATATATAACACTCCCCTTTAGATGTCCATGTATAAATTAAAGAGAGGTATATAAATTTATTTGCAATACACATTATATATATATTTACAACATTCCCCCTTGAAAGTCCATGTATAAATTAAAGAGAGGTATATAAATTTATAACTTGTAATACACATTATTTACTGCCTCATTAAAAACCTTATCAGGATAACCCAGTGTGACAAAACCTGATTAAGAAAAAAAAAGTGCAACGCATATTTACTCCCCTGATGAAACATCACTTAATAACTCGAAGACGACGCATTCCAAACTTGTA